ATGCGAGAATAAATTTGTAATATTCAGAGAATAAAGTCATATCATTACGATAATAAAGTCGCCACATTATGAGAATAATGTCTTAATAGTATGAGAATAAAGTTTCAAAAAATAACGAGAATGAAGTCATCATACATCAACTGGTTTCAGAAAGAAAGCTTTGAGCTCCGCCCAGCAGATGACGTCCGACCAGCTCCACCAATCAGCAACCAGAGTCCAGTTTGACATCCTGCCCAGTTTGATGCTGCTGCTAAAAGATTTCCGTATTTGTCAAATAGGGCTGGGTATTTTCGCCAAAGTCCTGAATCGATTCGATTTTGATTCATACGGTTCTAAATCGATTAATTTGGATTCAATATGTTTTTACAATAATGAAAGTGGTTCAGCTGTGTTTCAAAATACTCATGTATTTTGTTTTTTCCTGTCACATTAAACACAAAAAGTTCAAACTTGTAAATCAGACTGTTTAAACTCGAGATGTGAACAAAACTGTCTCAAAAGTGCACACAACTTGTATGAGCTGCGTTATCTCCAATATTCAAACCATATTTGCAGCGTTTTCTGTAACCACAGGGTGTTTGCTGGTCAGCCCCCATTTGTTAATGTCTTCAGTAAACCTATTGGCTATATTTGCAGCTGTCTGGCTTGAAGTCATCTTGAGTGCATCTTTCCTGCTTATTTGAATGTGAACGTCACACGCGTCACTATAAAATGAATCAATCTCATTGCCTAGATATCGATTTTCCAAAAATGTAAAGGAATCGATTCAATTAAATCAATTTTTTTACCTAGCCCTATTGTTAAACAAATGCCAAAATATAACTTCACATGATGCTCAACATTCCTCATTTTAGGGAAGAAAGTGCTTCTTGTAAGAGTTGTTAAAAAATACAACTTGTTTCTCATAATATTGCGACTTTATTCTTTTAATGTTGCAACTTTACTCTCGTAACTTTATGACTTTGTTCTCGTTGCGACTTTATAACTTCTAATGATGTGACTTTTTATTGTACTTTTATGACTTTATTCTCGTTGCAACTTTATTCTCCTAATTTTACGAAATTACTCTCGTAACTTTATGACTTTGTTCTCGTTGCGACTTTATTCTTGTAATGTTGTGACTTTTTATTGTACTTTTATGACTTTATTCTCGTTGCAACTTTATTCTCCTAATTTTACGAATTTACTCTCGTAACTTTATGACTTTGTTCTCGTTGCGACTTTATTCTTTTAATGTTGTGACTTTTTATTGTACTTTTATGACTTTATTCTAGTTGCGACTTTATTTTCGTAATGTTGCGACCTTTTTTCTCACTTTTATGACTTTATTCTCATTGCAATTGTAATGTTGCAACTTTACTCTTGTAACTTTATGACTTTGTTCTCGTTGCGACTTTAATCTTTTAATGTTGTGACTTTATATCGTACTTTCGTGACTTTATTCTAGTTGCGACTTTATTTTCGTAATGTTGCGACCTTTTTTCTCACTTTTATGACTTTATTCTCATTGCAATTGTAATGTTGCAACTTTACTCTCGTAACTTTATGACTTTGTTCTCGTTGCGACTTTAATCTTTTAATGTTGTGACTTTATATCGTACTTTCGTGACTTTATTCTAGTTGCGACTTTATTTTCGTAATGTTGCGACCTTTTTTCTCACTTTTATGACTTTATTCTCATTGCAATTGTAATGTTGCAACTTTACTCTCGTAACTTTATGACTTTGTTCTCGTTGCGACTTTAATCTTTTAATGTTGTGACTTTATATCGTACTTTCGTGACTTTATTCTAGTTGCGACTTTATTTTCGTAATGTTGCGACCTTTTTTCTCACTTTTATGACTTTATTCTCATTGCAATTGTAATGTTGCAACTTTACTCTCGTAACTTTATGACTTTGTTCTCGTTGCGACTTTAATCTTTTAATGTTGTGACTTTATATCGTACTTTCGTGACTTTATTCTAGTTGCGACTTTATTTTCGTAATGTTGCGACCTTTTTTCTCACTTTTATGACTTTATTCTCATTGCAATTGTAATGTTGCAACTTTACTCTCGTAACTTTATGACTTTGTTCTCGTTGCGACTTTAATCTTTTAATGTTGTGACTTTATATCGTACTTTCGTGACTTTATTCTAGTTGCGACTTTATTTTCGTAATGTTGCAACCTTTTTTCTCACTTTTATGACTTTATTCTCATTGCAATTGTAATGTTGCAACTTTACTCTCGTAACTTTATGACTTTGTTCTCGTTGCGACTTTATTCTTGTAATGTTGTGACTTTTTATTTTACTTTTATGACTTTATTCTCCTAATTTTGCGAATTTACTCTTGTAATTTTATGACTTTGTTCTCGTTGCGACTTTATTCTTGTAATGTTGTGACTTTTTATTGTACTTTTATGACTTTATTCTCCTAATTTTGCGAATTTACTCTTGTAATTTTATGACTTTGTTCTCGTTGCAACTTTATTCTTGTAATGTTGTGACTTTTTATTGTACTTTTATGACTTTATTCTCCTAATTTTACGAATTTACTCTCGTAATTTTATGACTTTATTCTCGTTGCGACTTTATTCTTTTAATGTTGTGACTTGTAATCGTACTTTCGTGACTTTATTCTACTTGCGATTTTATTTTCGTAATGTTGCGACCTTTTTTCTCACTTTTATGACTGTTCTCATTGCTATTGTAATGTTGCAACTTTACTCTTAACTTTATGACTTTGTTCTCGTTGCGACTTTGTTCTTGTAATGTTGTGACTTTTTATTGTACTTTTATGACTTTATTCTCCTAATTTTGCGAATTTACTCTTGTAATTTTATGACTTTGTTCTCGTTGCGACTTTATTCTTGTAATGTGACTTTTTATTGTACTTTTATGACTTTATTCTCGTTGCAACTTTATTCTCCTAATTTTACGAATTTACTCTCGTAACTTTATGACTTTGTTCTCGTTGCGACTTTATTCTTTTAATGTTGCGACTTTTTATTGTACTTTCATGACTTTATTCTAGTTGCGACTTTATTTTTGTAATGTTGCGACCTTTTCTCCCCCTTTTTATGACTTTATTCTCATTGCAATTGTAATGTTGCAACTTTACTCTCGTAACTTTATGACTTTGTTCTCGTTGCGACTTTGTTCTTGTAATGTTGTGACATTTTATTCTACTTTTATGACTTTATTCTCCTAATTTTATGAATATACTCTCGTAATTTTATGACTTTGTTCTCGTTGCGACTTTATTCTTTTAATGTTGTGACTTTTTATCGTACTTTCGTGACTTTATTCTCCTAATTTTGCAGATTTACTCTTGTAACTTTATGACTTTGTTCCCGTTGAGACTTTTTGACGTACTTTCATGACTTTATTCTAGTTGCGACTTTATTTTCGTAATGTTGCGACCTTTTCTCTCACTTTTAAGACTTTATTCTCATTGCAACTTTATTCGCGTAATTTTATCACTTTATTCTCCTAATATTACAACTTTATTCTGAAACTGAAAACAAAGAAATTCTCCAGCCTGGCCCTAATACTCCATCGTACTGTCAGCAACTTAACGCCTTTGCCATGCTAAGGTGAATGAATCATCAACGCAGACAGAGCTTAAGCAGTGGAACACAACAAAAAGTTATAGATCTTATCTCTTAATTGTCTATAGGCTTTAACAGAAGTCTATGTATATGATGTATATAAGTGGTGAAAATAGTGTCTCAAAGTTTCAGTGCCTTAGGGTTTTTAAATATGTTACAGAATAGCCTGCTACTAAACTATCATTGGTTTTTATGAAAGTAAAGCCTTATGCTCATATGTCATAAAGACACAAGGCAGATGAGCAATAACAGGAAAGAGGTTTAAAAAGGGGAGAAAATAAGTGTTTAAACTAAGTCACCGTAGCGCTTTGCCTTGGCATGGGAAAGCAGTATGCATTATCCAACTGTTTCAGATGAAATGAATGCTTCTGCATTCAAAGCAGCTTGTTGACAGAGTTTCTAATAGAAGAGGCAGAATAAGCAGGGTACACAGCAGGAAATGCATCCAGATCCTCCAAAAGACAGCTGCAGTTTTGCATCAGAGGTCAACATCCACCACAAGGAAACTGTGGTGAGAGACGGCCCTCTCTGGGACTCATGAGGGTTACTTTTTGTATGAGCACAAGGCTGTTGTTTCATTGACACATTTACAAGAAAAACTTTTGCTTTACTGTGCATTCTCCCAGTAGGAGGTTTATGTTTCATAAGAAGGAAGAGCATGATAAGGAGGGGAACTTTGTGATGTTTCTTACTGGTTACTAAGCAGCCAGCCCCAATATTAGGGTATTCTAAACTCTGGGATATCATGCAGGAAGTTGACCTCACAGAAAGGGACACGCCGAAGGATGTGACCTCATGTAAAGTGATGGTTTAACAGGGCCTTCATTTTCCCTTTGCTCCAGCTATTGATCTCCTCCACCTCCTTGTGGGAACTGAAAGAAGTAAAGAGGAAGCGTGGCGCTGAGACAGTGTGAGGCGAGGGATGTATTCCACATAGCTATGACACCTCTAGTATTTATGATTGAGGCTTTGCTTCAGACAAGTCCATCGACTCTTGTTTCAACTACCCATTAGTTTACATTCCTGAGCAAAAATTAAGTTTTCTTCCTTTTTTAAATCATTAGAATCAAATTGTGGATGTTTCTAGTCTCTCTGGGATCATGGAAGCTGCTCTATATTTACACGTCCTACGTCATGGAAACTTGGGTACTAGTTGTGAAAGTGTGATGTGAAAAAAAGGCCTATTAGTTCTGCTTTTCATATGAGCGGGTTATTTTTATCACCATTGTCTGGCCTCTATTTACAGCACATTCAAATGATAACTTGAGGGGGCTTTGAATTACCACACTCATTTGCACTGACAAAAAAAAAAAAGCCACAAATTTAATATCTTTCTGGAATTTGCCTTTTGGTCTGTAGATTGAATAATTAGAGCCGATGTTGTTCCCTTTTCTGTTTTTCTTGGCAGCTACTTTCATGTGTGCGAGTGTTTGCCAGCTCTGATGGTAGCAGCGAGAACGCGTCACCTGTGAGAGGATCCAAGCGCCTCACCATGACAGAGGTCCAGGTAAGGACGGCCCCTTGACACCAAGCACTGGTCTTTGTCAAAAATCAGCTGGTATTTCTAACAGACTGTCCACCCCTAATGTTGCAGAGTCCGTGGCCACAGGGCACAGAGTGTGTGGCAAGGTACAACTTCAAAGGCACGTCGGAGCAGGATCTGCCCTTTAACAAAGGAGACGTTTTGACTATCATCATTGTCACAAAAGTAAAGCTATGATCCTGTGGAGGTTAACTGTCACAGCAAAACATTCATCGCATGAATGATGTTCTCCAATGCTGATGTTTTGTGTTTTCAGGATCCCAACTGGTACCATGCTAAAAACGCTGCTGGTCAAGAGGGAACAATCCCAGCTAACTACGTGCAGAAAAGAGAAGGTGTGAAATCTGGAGGCAAGCTGAGTTTAATGCCGTAAGTAAACGCATCATTTAGCATCTTAAAGTCGAAGGGAAGCGGCTTTTCCAACCGTTGCAGTTCTGAATTCTCCCGACAATCCCTCACACAAGCATCCTTAGTGTGAGGGATTGTATTTGAGTCAATGAGTCCATGCAATCAGCTGGTTTTCCTTAGATAGAAAACTTTGTATCAATTTGACTGGATGATCTGGTTGAACTGTAAAGTGCCTTGGGATGACATGTGTTGTGAATTTGGCGCTATAGAAATAAACTGAATTGAATTGAGTGGTGCCCGACTTTACATGACTGAATTAAGTCAATGTGATTGGTCGATTATCAAGGAGGCGGGATTGTTGTGGCGGAAGGTTCGCAGGCAAGTTTGGTTGTGGCCGGTTTGTCGGAAGCATCTTGCTAACCAGTTAGCAACTTAGTGCTAGTAGGTTCCCAATGGGAAATTCCATTGGGACCAAGTAGCACTAAATTGGTGACTTAGAAATGACGCTGTCAAGGAACGCTATGGACAGAGGAAACATGCAAGAGGAGGAGAGTTTAGTGTCGGAGGTCGTGGATGAGTCTCCCCCGTCATCCATTTTTTATTTAGAGGAGGAAAGCGGGGATGAAGATGTTGTGGAAGAGGACGCCAGGGCGGCAGAAGCTTGGTTTGGTGTAGAAGGCTTCCAGCCGTACATGTTTGAGCCCTTGCCTCGCAACGCTGCCAGTTCTGTTAGCTCTACGCCTGCCGAAGACACAGACGTCCATCCCCGTGAACACTGGGACGCAACTCAATGGGAAAGGAAAGGATTCTGATTTCTTATTTCAACCGTTGCGTATATTAGCCGCGATGTATGAATCAAGATGCTATGACCAAAACAATCTGACAGATGACCGTTGATATATGATTGGTCGAATTTAGGTATTCAGGCTGACGTAGAACTAACTGGTCTGCAGAAGATAATGAACAAAAACAACACAGGTTTTAAAGACAGGATTTTTTTTTTTTTATAGAAATTTTCTACATTTTGGGACATCATAGTCTGATAAAGAAAACATTTATATACATGTTTAAATATGATTTCCCTATGACTTTAAAGGGCATCTTAATGTAATCATTTTTACACATTTAAATTTTTTGTTGTGTCATATCATTACAATGTCTGACAAAATCATGTAAGAGGAAAAAAAAGGAGTCAATGCAATGCAAAATGCAGGTGAAGGTTGTCAAGGTGTGTTTTTAGTACCTTTGGACTGCCAGAGTTGGATAACACTCTATAACATGTGTGCCTCTAAGAGGAAATTAGTGATTACAAAGTCTGCAGCTTCAGACTACAAGAATGACCTGCTTTTTGCAAGCAGTGGCTGTGAAAACCTCAGTTTTCTCCACATAACCAGCGTCTTTTTTATTTATTTAATATATGTGGAGAAAATCCATCTGGCGGAGTCAGGTTACAATTTTGAAGCATGGTCTGCACTATGATGTTATACGCCACAACACAAGAGAGACAATCAGGAACTAGCTGTGCGTCTAGATGCGGCAGACGCGGTGAGGAAGTGGAAAAATGCAAGGGGTAAGTTAGAGCGAAAACGGAGGGACATGAGGGCGAAAAAGAGTGGGGATCTAGGTGGAAAAAGGGTCCCAGAAATCTTGCACAGCTCGCTCTTCTAGCTGATCCATCTTCACGAGTCGATCTCAACAATGGCGGTCAGCAGAGTGTCTGCGGAAGGGGGATGGGGAGGCAGACGACCTGGTTCCTGAGCATAAACCAGCCTTGAGTCTAAGCATTACCCTATAGCTGCGCACCCCTTCTGAAAAATCCTTGATCCGCCCCTGGAATAGAAGTAGTGCGTTCTCTTTACTTGTGTTTAATCTCAGGTTGCCCACATTTCCAATTAAAAATAAAGTTTGCAGCAGAAGTGCTCAATATATCCCTTTCTGGTTGTGAGGGGGCAGCCGCACAACCACTACATGCATCATTTATGAAAAAGTTCATTTTTTTCGGTTAGAAGAGGACCTATTTTAGTTACAGCAATAGATGGTGGGGCATTTAGTGGATGCAATAGCAATCACTACTCTACCATCCAGATTTGGAGGATGTGACTTAAAAGGTTTTTTTATGTAACATGGTTTCACCACTGAAAAAGCAGAAGTAAAAATTCTTATTATTAGTCTATCTGCCCTTAATATGAGCAGGTAGATGAGTGGGATGGGTAGTTTTGCACTTAAAATAAGATAGTTGCGTGTTTGTTTTTTTTGTGTTTATGGCACTAGTGGTTTGTTTTTCTGACAGGAAAGGGGGGTATGAGAGAGAGAGACGCAGCAAAGGACTACAGGCCGGATTCGAACCGGGTCGGCCACATCTAGGACTCAGGCTTCCGTATATGGGTCATGAGCACTAACCACTGCCCCACCTGTACGCCCAAGATGGATGAATTTTCTGCACTTGAAATATGATAATATAGTTGCATTTTTCTTGAAAGCAACTTTCAGTCCAGGTTTCACCACACTTGGAGGTATACACTGGAAAAAATCCAGATCTAGATAAGTCATTTTTTTCTTAAAATAAATGCATTTGTTCTTGGATTGAGGAGTTAAAAGTGACATTTTGCCAATGGAACAACACTGGAAAAACATTCCAGAAATAAGCAAAAATTTCTTAAATTAAGTGTATTTATCCTTAATTTGAGCAGGTAAATGAGATAGTTTGCCAATGGAATGAGTATTTTATACTCTTAAAATAAGTTAATTAGATAATATGCACTTAAAATAAGACGATGTAATTGTGTTTTCTTATTTAAGGTGTAAATTGTCTTGTTCCATTGGCAAAATCGCCCTCAAACCAAGAACAAATGCACTTATTTTGAGAAAAAAATTACTTTAGATTTTGATTTTTTCCAGTTAAGACAACTCTTAAAATAGGAACACACAACTGCATTGTCTTATTTCAAGTGAATATTATCAAAATATCTTATTTTAAGAGTAAAAATACTGATTCCATTGGCAAACTACCTCATTTACTTACTCAAATTAAGGGTAAATAAACTTAATTTAAGAAAATTCTACTTATTTCTAGATCGTTTTTCCAGTGTAGGAAAGGATTTTTTAGATCCGATTACATCACTTGGCCCGTATCAGTCCTCTGCTGGCTGCTCTTCCCACAAACTTGCCTATATACGGTGAGAGGGTCAGATCCATCAATGAATGGGTGATGTGACCCAGAGCAGCGCTTTACGGCAGCTCCCCAAAAACACGAAAGCTACAACAAAAGAGACATGATATTAAACTGATCAGACATATTTTTGGTTCTCTGATGTAGCATTAAGTCTTGGTGTGGTTTTGTCTTTACAGTTGCTTGTGCAAAGAGGTTTACTATTAGATTCCAGAACAAAAAGGGACACTGTTTAATTCTAGATCATTTTAACTCTATACCGTTGGTAAATTGTCCTCCTTAGCTGCTCAAATCAAAGAAAACTCTTTTATTCTGCTACATATATTCTATATTTCTACACACTTAGTTTGGAAATGGACTTACTGATATTACATTTTTTATAGTGAGTAACATACAGGTGCTGGTCATAAAATTAGAATATCATGAAAAAGTAGATTGATTTCAGTAATTCCATTTAAAAAGGGAAACTTGTATATTATATTCATACATTACATACAAACTCATATATTTCAGATGTTTATTTTGTTTAATTTTGATGATTACAAATGACAACAAATGAAAATCTCAAATTCATCATATCAGAAAATTAGAATATTGTGAAAAGGTTCAAAATTGATGGCCCCTGGTGCCACACTCTAATCAGCTAATTAACTCAAACCACCTGCAAAAGCCTTTAAATGGTCTTTCAGTCTAGTTCTATAGGCTACACAATCATGGGGAAGACTGCTGACTTGACAGTTGTCCAAAAGACGACCATCGACACCTTGCACAAGGAGGGCAAGACACAAAAGGTCATCGCTAAAGAGGCTGGCTGTTCACAGAGCTCAGTGTCCAAGCACATTAATAGAGAGGCGAAGGGAAGGAAAAGATGTGGTCGAAAAAAGTGTACAAGCAAGAGAGATAACCGCACCCTGGAGAGGATTGTGAAACAAAACCCCTTCAAAAATGTGGGGGAGATTCACAAAGAGTGGACTGCAGCTGGAGTGAGTGCTTCAAGAACCACCACACACAGACGTATGAAAGACATGGGTTTCTGCTGTCGCATTCCTTGTGTCAAGCCACTCTTGAACCACAGACAGCGTCAGAAGCGTCTTGCCTGGGCTAAAGAGAAACAGGACTGGACTGCTGGTGAGTGGTCCAAAGTCATGTTCTCTGATGAAAGTAAATTTTGCATTTCCTTTGGAAATCAAGGTCCCAGAGTCTGGAGGAAAAGAAGAGAGGCACTTCATCCACGTTGCTTGAAGTCCAGTGTAAAGTTTCCACAGTCAGTGATGGTTTGGGGTGCCATGTCATCTGCTGGTGTTGGTCCATTGTGTTTTCTGAGGTCCAGGGTCAACGCAGCCACATACCAGGAAGTTTTAGAGCACTTCATGCTTCCTGCAGCTGACCAACTTTTTGGAGATGCAGATTTCATTTTCCAACAGGACTTGGCACCTGCACACAGTGCCAAAGCTACCAGTACCTGGTTGAAGGACCATGGTATCCCTGTTCTTAATTGGCCAGCAAACTCTCCTGACCTTAACCCCATAGAAAATCTATGGGGTATTGTGAAGAAGAAGATGCAATACACCAGACCCAACAATTCAGAAGAGCTAAAAGCCACTATTAGAGCAACCTGGGCTATCATAACACCTGAGCAGTGCCACAGACTGATCGACTCCATGCCACGCCGCATTGCTGCAGTAATACAGGCCAAAGGAGGCCCAACTAAATACTGAGTGCTGTACATGCTCATACTTTTCATGTTCATACTTTTCAGTTGGCCAACATTTCTATAAATCCTTTGTTTTTATTGGTCTTCAGTAATATTCTAATTTTCTGATATGATGAATTTGAGATTTTCATTTGTTGT